CCCAACCTGGTTGCCATTAAGGCAAATAATAAAAATTAAAGGGCCAGTCTACTAATGTACATAAAATAATTTACAATAAGATGTAAGCAGCAATATAAACACAGTGAACATGGTTTTTATACTGTATGCGACGCTGTCATCCCAGTAATATTACAAATTTGAGATTATTTTTAAAGCTTTCTCATATGATGCAATTTTGAACTGCTTTCACTTTTACTTCAATATAAACTGCCACTAGAGGGCATGCTCAGCCTACAAACATGAACATCTTTTTATACTACACATCAGTCTGACACTTGCCTTTCACATAGCTTTCTACTAACATCAACACCAAGGGTTGTTATAAAACTGTGTATATTAAAAATCAGTGTCTGTCATAAAAAGGGTGTTATGCCTGACGCTGCATGTGTACATTGCAGACAGAATATCTAATATGAGGTTTTACATGAACCTAGCACATTGGGCAAGTATGTAGGCTAATGTCTGGTATATACTGATAGGAGGAAGCAGATCTTCATACAAGATGTAAGTACTTCTTTGCACTGAAATATATTAGTGCAGGCACAAAGTAACAATTTCATTTATGCTAACATCACATAATGCTAACAGTACTCATGTGAAGGGGTGGGGGTGGGGTCTTGTGTGCCCTTTCTTTGGAATTTTCTAGATTTGCATTTTCAATGAACTCATTCTGTCATTGCACACCTTGGTGGGCGGAGCTTCCAGTTTCACAGTCTGGGAGGAATAGGTACAGCAAGAAAAAGTCACAGCAGAGCAGCATCACAGTCTCAAAAGAACTGGGTGTGGTGGGTGAAGGTGAACCCTGGAGACACACACACACATAGGCACACAGTGCACAAACAAGCACAGAGACTGATAGGTTCATAACAAAAGAGAGTGCTGATGAACCACAGCAGAGGGAGAGAAAAAGCAAGTGATGAAACACAGACTGCAGAAAAGGAAGTCTGATGAAGAAGGGAGAAGATTTGAAACTCGTGAAAAATTCACAGTTTCATGAAAAACTACTGCCACTCATGTGGTTCTGGAAACCAACCAGAGTATACAATCCAGTCTGAGTCCTAATTCAAATAATATGAAGAAATAATGATTAATAATGAATCGCAGAGAAACATAAGAAGATTAGTAGAAGAACATGACAATTAGTAAACAGGAAATGAGAGAAAATAAAGGTAGTGCAGTGTCAAGGAAACACACAGACAAGAAAAGGAGAAACACCCAGAACACAGTAAAGTAACTGAACAGGGAATTGTACTAAATGCTTAGCGTGTGTGTGTGTGTGTATACTGGTTGCATGGCTGTGGGGATGGAAACCTATTTACACACTCACATTGTGAATACCAGATGCTGTGCTAATATTTGGTATTTTGACATCTGATCAGCTTTAACACCAGAAAAATAGACATCTTCAGCATCCATTCCCAACTAGAACTGTACTGCGCTGAAGGTGGAAATGCTTTTGAATCAGCATATGGCACATTAAAATTTCACATTAAAAGTGAATCTTTTTATCTTAATGCTGAAGCTCTAATTCTTTTCTAAAGTAGCTGAAAAGGGAGCTGATAACAAACCCTCACAGCTCTACAATGTGTTAGTTCAGTGACAGAAGCGAGATGTTTTTCCCACCACAGAACCATGGGCTGAAATATACTTCTGTATCATTTTAGGAACATCTTGCACTTCCATATTTAGTTTGCAGGACTCATTTCTCAAAAAACACTGAGAAAGAAGAGATTAAAAAACCCCCACTATGATCTCTTTTTTTAAAAACTGCCCTAACTGGCAGATGCTCAAAGTAAAACAAGTTTTAAACTCAATATATGATGCATCTACAACAACGTTTGTAGAGTTACAACATCTCACTTGTAAGTCCAGTGTTACATTTACTGTTACCACTCTAAATGCCTCTGGGGCTGTTTAGCTGGGCCCATAAAACCACAGGTGGACAGTTTTGCTAAAACAGAGACGAACAGAGAGACTGACAGTGTCAGTACAATCCGCTGCTGCAGCTGAATCTTCAGCTCCTTGCCAAAGTCCTCAAGGTAAGAAGAGTTACTCATTTACTCACTTGCATAACATTTTCCAAGGACTCCTGATTCCTGCCACCGTGCTGTTCCTAAATCTACAAACCTTAAGTCAACACATTAAAATGCAAAAGGGCCTAAGAGAAAGTCTGAACAAACCACCAACCGTATGATGTTACACCTGGCTGTTTAGCTGTCGGAGTGTCTTGGTGACTTCTCCACGTGTCTCTTTGAACTTCTTCCCCAGCTCTGTCCTGATCATGGAGGTCTGCAGAAAAACAAAAGGGGCAGATTGAGTAGAAGTTGGTGTTTGTCCATTTCATTAGTCATGTCTTTCCATTGAGTTCACTTTAATTTAGTTCAGTCTCGGTTTTTATGTAGCTTTTGCTTGTACTGTACACACATCTGCTACACAAAACAGTTTTTGTTTTTTCTGACTTTTCTCAGTGCTTTTTCTGGCAATCTGAGAAGGAAGCATCATTCTTTAGTTGAAATGCTTATGAACATCTGACCATTGTAGCTGTTGTTTGGCTCATGAGGGTCACAGGCCAAAAAAAGATGAAAACCAGGGATTTTGACTATACCATCCATTATCCATAATGCTTATTCCTGAATAAGGTCACAGGGGGCTGGAGCCCATCCCAGCTGACATTGGGTAAGAGGCGGGGTACACCCTGGACAGTTTGCCAGTCCATCATAGGGCTGACACTTATAGACAGACAACCACACACACTCCTATGGGCAATTTAGAGTCACCAATTAACCTAAGCTGCATGTCTTTGGACTTAGGAGTACCCGGAGAGAACCCATGCCGGCACAGGGAGAACATGCAGCTGTGGCTCAGGGGGTAGAGTGGGTGGTCTCCTAACCGGAAGACTGGCAGATAGATCCCCTTTGAGTGTGTTGCAATGCATAGAAAGGTGCTATACAATATATAAGACCATTTACATGCAAACTCCACACAGAAAGGCATTTAGTTGGCCCAGGCTGAAACCCAGAACCTTCTTGCTGTGAGGTGACGGTGCTAACCATTGTGCCAGATTTTGACTATTACGGGACAATAAGACCCTTCACTGAAACAGATGGACTTCAGTTAGAATGGGATACACACACACACACACACACTCACTAACTCACATCAGACTGTGCACAAACCTGCAAGACTGATGAATGCTAGTATAGCCCTGAAGCCTCTGTGTGTGATGCTGCTGTCTGAAGTGAACTGAAGCACCATGGTTCTGTGGTAGGACAGCACAGGAGGGGGGGTACTGCCACCACACAGCACCGCTACACAAAACATGACAAAGTAACCTCTTATTGCAAGTATTGTTCCATTATTTTTGAATCTGAAAATAATGCGGGGACAGAAAGAAAGAGAAAGAAGGGATAAGGCATGTGCAAGAGAATTTGGGTTGATTTAGTTATGTCATCCAGTTCAGCCATCTGACCTATTTCTTCTGTTTCTTCCATATCTCCCAGGATGGTGAGGAAATCATACAAGCATCTGTCTGACTGCTCCAGCTCAAAATCCACAAAATCCAGCTGAAACATAACACAATAATTGACCTTTGGTTACTGATCAGTCTGTTACAAAACTTTGTGATAACATCACATTATCACAAGTGTTGGGCGGAAAGCTTCGTGCATCACCTTAACAACGTGATCCTGTGGAGCATAGACAACCCAGCGGAGGACACAGCTGTTGCTGTAGGATTGTGGGTAATTCGGACTTTGGACAACAATCTCATCTTCAACCAGAACAACTGCCCCGCATCCTGATTAGACACGCACACACACACACACACCAACCGCATACCACACGCAGATAGGCATGCCAAGCATCACTGCACTCATATGAGACAAACCAATTTAACACAAATACACCCACTTGTCCACACATTTACAACAAAAGGCAGGCTGGGTTCATCTTGGGTTCATTCAGCTATCAGCAAACATCTGTGTGTGTCTTGTGAAACTCATTATTCTTTCAGGGGACATTTGTCTACATAACTCCCAGGTTGCTAAGAGATCCACAATCAACAAACACAGCAGAGGGTGACACTATGTATAGTATGTATACTACATATACATTATGGGCACAGAGCAGGGTGTGTATCAGCCTGTGATATTGTACTGTATGTATAACTTGGTAATACAAACACAAGTGTACTGTAGCCTACTATATGTGCCTGTGTTTGTGTGTGTTGTGTATGTTGTATGGTCTGTTCCCCACCAGGAGAGTATCCCTGGACAACCCGATGCCTAATGACAAAGCCGCTTCCTGTTCTGTTAATGTCAGAGGAGAACAGAAGCGTTGCATTCTGGGATTGATTTAGAAATACATGGCTGTGTAGGACACTTCCACAGAATATCCCTGTAAAAACAAAGACAGGCAAAAATAACAAAGGAGGATCAAATATAGCACTGTATGAGCATATTCATATTCACTTTCTATCTGTAGTCTGTAGCCAATGCTCTTATTTGCAAACAACCCAAGGCAAGTCAGCATAATCCACACTTGGTAAAGAGCTACAGTATAGGACATTTTGTAGTTTTAGGGGGGAGTTTTGTGATAGAACTACTTCGTGACAATAAAATAAACTAAAATAAAAATAAATAAATAAATAAAAATAAACAGCCAGACACATTAACTGTGCCAAGCATCCAAAACTGCTGTCCGCAAATGAGGCTTTCAGGTTTGGTAACATTGTGTCTGTAATGAGATCTAAACCAAACTTAGTGCTCACTTACCAAATACCTGGCAATCTACACTCTTCCTCTATGAAATGTCATGCATGAGGTGAAGAACTTCAAATTTGCTACATAACACAAACTACAAAGTCAGCACACCATGATGTATGCAAAAAATTTTACTGACTGTGCACGTATTATATACCAAGTAAATCAATCAAACTCAAACTGATTGGTAACTGTATATTTTTCTCTTTGGAAAAACCCAGGTTAGTTGTTCCCCCGACTTCAGTCTTTGTGCTGCACATGCCCAGCTCTGTATTTAGGCTGCTATAAACCTCAGACATGAGGCAGAGCTCAATCTTCTTATTTCACTTTCTTAAAGAAAGCAAGCAACTCTATTTCCCAAAATGTTAAACTAGTCCTGTAACATAACCAACTTGGGTATTTCCACATGCCCAGAGTGATTCTGTGCCTTATAAATATTTACATGATTGGAAATGTTATCTCCTTCCTGTGGTCTATATGTATATGTGTGTTTAATACCCACCTACAGGCCTTTGGGTCTCCACTGAAACAGTGAGTCGATCGTAGCGACAGTAAGAGTCATTCTCCAGATCAAAATGCTCAAATTCCAACAGAATACTATAACCTTGAGGAACACTGATACTCCACACACAGAACCTGAAGACACACACACAGAACTTAAAAAGTTTCAAAGTGCTACTCAACTTTCACTTTACTCTGAAATATACACCTAATATTTCTTATGCAGGAGTTGAAAGCTAACTAGAAAAATGCATTTCCTGTCGAAAATGCATGTGGATGCTGAAATGCTGAAAGATTGTCCTGAAAATGCCTGAAATCAATTGCTGAAACAGCTGAAGGATGAGAAGAAATGGCTGAAGCTGTTTGTTGAAATAGTTGAGAAGAAATGGCTGAAGTTCTTTGTTGAATAATCTGAAGGATGAGATGCAATAAATACAAGTAGGAAGGTCCTTGAAGAGCTGAACATTTTGATACCTGAAGACCTGCGTTTCTAGCTGAAAGTATGCTGAACTTATTAAGATGTGAAAATATTCCCCACATTAGTCCCCACAAAGTAGGTAAAACAAGTAGGTGTGTGTGTGTGTGAGTGAGAGAGAGGGAGCGAGAGAGAGAAGTTATGAAGTTCCATGTCTCAATTGCACTGTATTTTATGGACCACCAGATGGCAATCCAGCACTATGTCATTGACTCAGCACTTTGAGCTCCCATTGACTTTTATTGTAAACAAAAAGCTGAATAAATTAAAAAGTATAAACGCTATAAAAAAGTTAAATACAAGCAGGAATTTCCTTGAACAGCTGAACAGGCAGATACCAGAATGGCCTGTATAGCTGAAAGTATGCCGGACTTATAAAGTGCCAAAAAATGGACAGAAGATCCCAGAATAATCAGAAGAACATAGTGTGGATGCTTTACAGCATCCACACAATTACCAACTTGGAAATCATGGACTCAGTAAGTACATGTGCATTTTTATGTCTCCATTTTTAGTACAGTCGTTTTACTGTATATTAAAAGAGAAAACAGACCTTTCTTTATACCAGAATGTTAAGGGTTGTCACTGTAATGATAATGGTCTTCTAGTGTTTGGCCCCAGGTACAGAAATTTGTCATCAGTTAGTTTCTCCCTCTCTGAAATGTCACTCACTCATTGTTGTTATAGTGATCACCGGGGAAGGCAGGATTTCTGATTATCCCCTCCCTGTCAGTTACAAGCCCATCTGTGACCCTGCAGAGTCCTAACACACACAGACGCACACACACACATTGTTGCATACATCAAAGAAGCATGTGCACATTATGAAATATAGATGATTAAAACTTGCTGTGATGACAAAAAAACAACTCACTTGATGAAGTCATTCCCAGCTTTTGCTCTTCAGCTAAAACAAACAGAAAAATGAAGAGGAAATTTTATTATTAACACCATTATGAAAATTGCAGGACCATTTCTATTCAGCATTAACCATTCTAAATGCTATGCACATGTTAAGATGTATTTATTACATATTAGCAATCTCAAAGTTAATATGAAACCTAAACAAGGTAAGAAATTTTAATAGCATTTTCAGTTGTGCAATAATAACAGCACATTTAAATACACACTAGGCAGAGAAGGACTTTTAGTTGTTACTGTGAGCTGTTGGCAAACCTGTTAAAATGGGTCCCAGAGAGAACCAAAAAGCACAAGAAACACAGGCCACAACAGTAGAACTGGCCTTTGCTGATCTGGCATCAGAGATAACCTTACAAAAAGAGCTGCAGGAGACTATTGAATAAATTGTCTCTTTTCAGTTAGAATTCACACAAGAACAGCAAGAATGTTTACAAGAAACAGCAGGAGGAGCTGGGAGAGGGAGGAAATTATTAAAATCTTATGGCAGAATGCATAAAGTAGAAAAGTTAAGAAAATCATAAAATGATTTGTGTGTGTTTTGTTTGAAATAATCATTAGTGAATGATTTGATTTGATTTATTCTTTCAAGCATGTAAAAACAGTTGATATGACACCACACATAATTTTACACATAATCCAATATCAATTTGTTTATACCTAGTACATGCTTGAATGGAGTAGGAAGAAGTCAGACTTATCCAGTCCTACCCCCTGACATCATCTTACATCATTGGTTTGCAACCAGTAAATGATTCACTTCTACCACACAAGTATTATGCTAAAAAAAAAATTTAAAAAATAATAACAGTGTTAACATTCTTACATAATTGCATTCTTAAATAATTATCTTATACACCACACAAGTAATACAAAGTGTACACCACACCCACAATTGTCCATGTAATTAATCATGTGTAAGAATAAAATGAGAAAGTATTGTATTGAAAAAGGTACAATTAGAAGGCATTGATAGTTTTCTGTAAGATCAGTGTGTAATTCTGATTGTTTAGTTAAACGCAATGATGGGATTCTTGGTATTTCAATCAGGGAGTTGGTCACAACTGGTCAAAAGCAGTCACAAGAAATACTGAACATTGACAAGTAAGCAATATGCAAATGAGTTGGATGGAATGACTAAGGACCAGAGTGTACTGGTTTATAAAAATTTCTCAGTACAGTAACATCTGAGGGTTTAAGGAGGTAGCTGCCTATAACTGAAGGTTGTTACTATTTGGGAGGTTTTGGGGTCTTATCCTGAATTAATAAGATGTGAGAGGGAGGTCTGCAGGAAACTCTGTTCGCAGGTTCATGGTAGTCAATTACTGAGTGAATATCTCCATCATGCAACCTAAAGCAGTGTTTGGAGCTTTAATATGTTTCAAATATGGCACCTTAGTGTGAGAGGTTAAGCTTTATTCCTATGTCCAGGGGTTAGCATATCATGGCCTTCATACAGAGTAAAAAAAAAACCCTGCATTTTCTCTCTCCCTCCTTTGTTTGTTGGACAGAGGTTTATGTTTAGGTCCACTCTCACTGCTCTTTTTAACTTTGTTTTTATCAACAGGCTTGTTTTTGGCAGAAAATCTCAAGTGAGCACACTGTACACTACTTGCCCAGCATCAAGTAGCGGATAGCCAAGGTTTGTGACTAGCTGATGACCACAGTGGAGCATTTAGCAGCTAAAGAGCCAGATATTTTTTCTCAGGAGCTGGTGGAGACCAAAAGTTAAGCCACCTGACAAAGTAAAAAAAGAAATGCTTTCCACACCAACTTCACATATTAAGGTGATAATGTTGCGTAAAAGATTTGTGTAAAATGAAAGGCCAATACTCCATTTAGTTTGTTCAAAGACAAACAGAAGTTCAAGAAAATGTAATTTGTTTATGTGTCAGATCAACAGACAGTGAAATCCTGACCTTAACCTAACCCCAACCCCAACACAACCCAGGCAGTCAATATTTTAAAAGCCATTCAACACATTAGAGTCACTTGAAAGTCAATTTATTCCTGCCCTGGATTATACAGGGTTATTCAAAAAGAATGAACCGATTTCATTACGCAATATTTTATTAAGCAAAAGTAATACAAAACTCCAGCCAAGTCGCAAGTATTCTACTCACAATCAACTTTTATTTCCTGTCTTACAAATGTTCAATGTGGCCACCACCTGCAGCATCGATGCGATAAGAGAATTCCTCCCAGGCGCATATTAGCATATCACAATCCACTGAGTTGATCGCTGTTGTTATTCAATGTTTAAGGTCATCAAGGTTAGTGGGTATCAAAACTTAGATAACTCCTCTTTCAAATGGTCACTGACTCATTCCATGATTCGATGCTTGTGTACTGAAGCAATGTGTAATGAAATCGGTTCATTCTTTTTGAATCACCCTGTACAATTAACCTGTGGTCATGTGATCAAGTATGGTTTTCAGAAACTATACCCTGACTAAATATGGGTTAAAAACCAACATAAATAATCATCATCTTGTGATGTGTTTATGAAGCATCATACTGGCTTCAGAGAAACAATCATCTTAGCTCAACCTTATCTTGACCTACCCTCTTGCAGTTTATGTTTGATCCATGGCAGCAGTAGCCTTACATCAGTGAACACCCCTGGAGATCCTCTTCTGGAAGGGGGGCGGATGCTGTTGTTTTTCCAGCTCCGACCACATCCCTTACCCCAAGAAGTTATGCCCAGTGCCACCCAGGGACCCCTGCCTGACCCTGCCAGACACACCAGAGGGCCCCCTGAATCCCCCTGGAGAGAGGATGAAGGAAGACATGAGTACAAACACAGCAACAATTATTCAAAGGTAAGTAATAATGACATGGAATGACTGGTTCATAATTCTTTAAATGAAGCATCACTGTTTTCATTAGTTCAGACTGTATTGTGCTATTGAACTAAATGGACTGCGCCCTAATGGAAAAAACAGGCAGATGTTTCTTTTGTTTTTCTACCTGGCAGGCATCTCTCCCTCCTCTCTCTGGTCCGGCACAAAGAACTGTCATGGCTGACCAAGATTGGACCGGCCTCTTATGCAGAACTGAACTGTGGACAGTCTGGAGAACATATTTACACTTGGATGGTTCCACCAAATTCAACTGGACCTCTCTCAGTATCGCAGGAAGGCGACCTTCTAGAAAACAAAAGCATAGATTAACAGCAGAATAAATTAAAACAAAACTTTAGTCTGCTTTAACAATATCTGGTGTGAGTGAGAAAACCACGTACTTTCCTTTATCCTGCCCCATCCACCCACAATGCAACTGGTTTGTGGAAGGATTTTCTCATCAGGCAAAGGTAAACATATTGGCTGGACACGGACCCCTGTTGTGAAAGTCACATATCAGCGACATAATACAATGAGATCTGTGTTAAGGTCACAGCATTATTTGACTAAACTAAACTAAGCTAATTGTCAGAATGGAAACCTGCCCAGTTGGATGTGTTGATCCAGCTCTACCAAGGCTATGTCATAGCTCATGGGCCAAGCATGATGGTAGTTCTCATGCACTGTGACAGTTTTGACACGAAACACTTGCTCCTCTTCATCATTCACTCTGCGGTCAAACTCTCCCACTGCCATGCTCACATTACTGAGAGACTCCCTGGGCAGAGGAGAAGAGTATTACATTCATGATAATCTAATATTCATACACTCAGAGGACAAAAAGAGGTACAGTATGTTAGAACAATACTTTGAGAGTGATGCAAAGCAGTGGGCAGCAGTCATTATCCAACGATCAGTCAGGATAGCCCCTCCACAGAAATGAGAGCCCTTGAGCCTTAGTGAAACCTGAGGGGGAAAAACATCAGCATTTACACACCTGTAATCAGCTATATACAGTACAGAGGAAAACCTCACACAGTGAAGAATCTGGATGTGATGTATTATTTGGAGCAAGTGTTTTTCTGTCAGGTCAGCACCACTGGGACTAGTGATGCTTTACTAATTAAAAAGATCATCATCATAACTTTTATCAGTCTAATGATAGTGTAATTAACTTCAACTGCAAGTCCCTCTCCTCTGTGCTATTACCTTGTAGAGGAGGAGAAGCTTGCATATCTCAGAGACCCCTGGGAGTTATACTGAGAGGAGGTTTAGGCACCAGCAGAGTTAGACAGGTTCCAGGGTAGAATCCAGACAAAAATTAGCACCGTCACCTCCTCTAGATTCAGGGTTGGACAAGGTGCCAACAGCTCCAACCCTTTAAAAATTCCACCATGTTATTGAAACAACAGCGAAAAAACTGACAGCCAGTGTGATGATGGCAGCAATTTATCAGGTCTGTCGATCTTGTAGTCTTTCAGATGATGTCTTCCTTCCACCCCCTGCAGTACGCCTACCTGCCCAACAGGGCCACCTCAGACGCCATCGCGGCTGCCCTCCACTATTCCCTTTTTCATCTGGAAAATGGAGACTCCTACATCAGAATACTTTTCACTGACTACAGCTCCACCTTCAACACAGTTGTCCCCCCCAAACTGTTCGCACTGGGT